AAGACAATTTGGAAATATGAATTAAGATGTGGACAAATGCACTAGATATTTATACCTAATTTTATCATTATTATTATTGTTTGGTTAGGTTAGGTTAGGTTTTTCGCCAAGTGTTGAAAAGCAGAAGAATATTTCAGTCTTTCCTTTGTGATAATAAACATTTTTGCTATACCTGGTGCAGCTCTTCCCCCTCCCCCCTCTCTCGCCTATTCCCTCCCCCTCTTCCACCACCCCTCCTCCTGCACCCCGTTCGCCATTCGCACCTCCCTGGCCGTTCACAACCATATATCCAGGTAATGTATCATCGTCCACTGAGAGCAAATTAAAGACGATCTCACCCAACTGCCTCAACCCAGGGTCACACACACACACACACACACACACACACACACACACACACACACACACACACACACACACACACACACACACACACACACACACACACACACACACACACACACACACACACACACACACACACACACACACACACACACACACACACACACACACACACACACACACACACACACACACACACACACACACACACACACACACACACACACACACACACACACACACACACACACACACACACACACACACACACACACACACACATTTCACCTTCATTCAAAACTTAATATTAAACACACACACACACACACACACACACACACACACACACACACACACACACACACACACACACACACGGTTACAAAGACGTACAGTAAGTAACTTCAAGCAATAAATTATTTAAACCAACACTGAAACGATGTCGATCTGCACACCTGTGACGCCAGTAATTACGTCTAGGTCAGGTTAGGTTAGTACTACAGGTCAGGGAGTACCACCAGTACTACAGGTCAGGGAGTACCACCAGTACTACAGGTCAGGACACCAGTACTACAGGTCAGAGTACAGTAACAGGCCAGGGACCACCAGTACTACAGGTCAGACCAAAAAAGGTCAGAGTACATATACTCAGGCAGGGCACAATCACAGTAGACGTACTACAGGTCAGGAGTACCACCAGTACTACAGGTCAGGAGTACCAGTAGACTACAGGCCAAAACCAGTACTACAGGTCAGGAGTACCACCAGTACTACAGGTCAGGGAGTACCACCAGTACTACAGGTCAGGGAGTACCAGTAGTACTACAGGCCAGGGGGCACAACCAGTACTACAGGTCAGGGAGTACCACAGTACTACAGGTCAGGGAGTACCAGCACTACTACAGGTCAGGGGCACCACCAGTACTACAGGTCAGGGGTTTGTGGCAGCCATCAGTGTTAACGCGTAGGGCAGAATTTCCCCAGGAGGTGTTGGGGTCGTGACTGCCTCCTACACAGTACCGTTAGTGGATATATGGACACGCGCCTTCACCGGACATATTGACACGCGCCTTCACCACCGGACATACTGGACACGCGCCTTCACCACCGGACATACTGGACACGCGCCTTCACCACCGGACATAATGGACACGCGCCATCACCACCGGACATACTGACACGCGCCTTCACCACCGGACATTGGACACGCGCCTTCACCACCGGACATACTGGACACGCGCCTTCACCACCGGACATACTGGACACGCGCCCCCACCACGGACATACTGGACATGCGCCCCACCACCGGACATACTGGACACGCGCCTTCACCACCGGACAGATTACACGCGCCCCCACCACCGACATACTGGACACGCGCTCACATACTACGACAACTAAGGACACGGCTAGCTTTAGGACATGGGGGTAGGAGGTTACCATGGGTCACTTAATTCTCTGGTGGATTAGCCATGGGGGAGAGGGAGGAGGGAGAGGGGAGAAGAGTGGGGAGGAAAGTGGGGGAGGAGAGGGAGAAGTGGAAGAGGAAAGAAAAGGGGATAGGACAGGGAAGTAGAGAGGGGAGATAAACGAGAAAGAAGAACGGGGAGAGGAAGGAAGAAGAAAGAGGTGGAGAGGTGGCGTGGAAGGAAAGAAGGACATAGTACCTGGGGTTAAGTTATAGTACTCAAGGGGCTAAGTTATAGTACTCAAGGGCTAAGTCATCATACTCAAGGGGCTAAGTCATCGTACTCAGGCTAAGTCATCGTACCAAGGGCTAAGTCATCGTACTCAAGGCTAAGTCATCATACTCAAGGCTAAGTCATCATACTCAAGGCTAAGTCATCGTACCTAAGGGGCTAAGTCATCATACTCAAGGCTAAGTCATCGTACTCAAGGGCTTAAATCATCGAGTCATCGTAAACACACACACACACACACACACCTCAATAAACATTATTATTATTATACACACACACACACACACACACACACACGAACCATCAGCCACCATAGACGAAGATGTTAAGAGAAGAGACGGGGAAGAAGAACAATTAAGAATGCGTTAGGGTATGGATACTATGATAGGATTACTTGACGGTCGAACGGCGAAACTGCAGTTTATGGGTGGGGGTGGGGGTGGGGGCAGGGGAGGGGGTGGTGAGGGGGGGTGGGGGGTGGGGGGGTGGGGGGTGGGGGTGGTGGGGGGGGGGGTGAGGGGTGGGGTGGGGGGGGGGTGGTGGGGGTGAGGGGGGGGGTGGGGGTGGTGGGGGTGAGGGGTGGTGGGGGTGAGGGGGGTGGGGGGGTGGTAGGGGTGAGGGGGGTGGGAGCGAGGGGTGGAGGGTGAGGGGTAGGTGGAGGGGTGGTGGGGGTAGAGAGGTGAGGGGTGGTAGGGGTGAGGGAGGGGGGAATGGGTGTTTTGTAATGATGGTTTACGACCGTCATATATCTTCCTTTCTTGTCCGTAATCATCAGTAATTTGGGAGGCGGTGAGGTGGGGGGAGGGGGTAGGGAAGGAGGTGGGGGAGGGGGTAGGGAAGGGGGTGGGGAGGGGGGTAGGAAGGAGGGTGGGAGGGGGTAGGAAGGAAGAATAGGGACGTGAGAGGGGGAGGAGGGGCTAGGGGTAGGGAGAGGTGGGGAGGAGGCGGTGGTGGGGTGGTGGAGGATGTCATCAGATAGAGAGCCATCATCAGGCTAGTTAGTTACCAGCTGGTCAGGTCAGGTTAGGTTAGCTGGGTTGGGCCAGGTCAGGTTAGGTCAGGTTAGGTTGGGTTAGGGTCAGGTCAGGTTAGGTTCAGTTTGGTCAGGTCAGGTTAGGTTGTTGGTTAGGTCAGGTCAGGTTAGGTTAGGTGTTTCAATTAAAGAGGAACTGGTCCATGCAACACCAATTCCTCGGTGGAGTCTCAGTGGACTTGCTTCCATCTCTCCTTGAAGAGGCATTAGGCTGGAGGAAATAGAGAGCTGGTGACTGCTTTTGTGTGCAGACCTGTGTAACTGTCCTCAACCCATCACCATCATCATAACAACATCATCATCATCACCATAACATCATCATCAACATCACCATCATCATAACAACATCATCATCATCATCACCATCATCATAACAACATCATCATCATCACCATCATCATAACACAATCATCAACATCATCACCATCATCATAACAACATCATCATCATCACCATCATCATAACACCATCATCATAACATCATCATCATCACCATCATCATAACAACACCATCACCATCATCTAAGCATCTCTGGGCCTTCAGCAGTTGAGATAATACCAATGTCAGACAACTGCTCTAAGCTTTATCCTCTCATTGCTAGCAAGATGTTGTGGGGGGTCACTGACGAACACCTCTACACCAAGTCTGTCTCAGTTACCGTCATAGTGTATAATATTTATTCATCATTGGTGTATGGAGTCACGGTGGTTTGTGTGTCACCTCCCACATCATACAGGTAGAACTGGCTGACGTAACTGCCTGGTAGGTGGTTAAGACAAGAGGGTTCAATGATGTACACTTTCCGTTCACCTTCAGGATGTCAGTGGGGTTCTGATTACCAGGTTCTGATACAAGTACTGATCACCCAGATCAAGTCACCGTCGTCACCAATACTGATCAGTTCATCACGAATCACGATCACCGTTCTGATCACCAGGTCTCCTGATCACCAAGTTCTGATCACCAAGTTCTGATCACCAAGTTCTGATCACCAAGTACTGATCACCAAGTTCTGATCACCAAGTACTGATCACCAAGTTCTGATCACCAAGTTCTGATCACCAAGTCCATGATGTATATCTTCCCTTCCCCCCCCTCCCCCCTTCCCCTGAGCAATTTATCTAACACGGCCCTGAGGTACACTAAATCCCGCCTCAATATCCTTAATCCTGATGTGACAATCCTGCATGATTAAATCCTCCACCTGGGCAGCTGTGTGTGTGTGTGTGTGTGTGTGTGTGTGTGTGTGTAAGGAGTTTGCGTGCGTGTGTGTGGTGGTGATCAAGGGGGTGCGCTCCTCGCCTCACATTACTCAGATACAGTAATACAACTCGGCCATTTTTTAACATTCCGGGGAACAAGATAAATGGATTCGTCAAACTCCATCAGCAGCTTATACATTCAGGTTACCATTTACTAATCGTATTGCCGCAACTGGGGAGGGTTGGTAGGCCTGGACAAGCTAAACATAAACAAATCAGCTTGATCTGTGGCGCCAAATTTGAATGCTGAAGCGTGAGTGGTGGTTGTAAAGCTTTTTTTTTCAAGAAGGCAACTTGCTTGACTGAAAACACGAGAACACTGAAAAGACATGATAAAAGAGCACAAAACTGTACTGTACAAGCCTAACGTAACGTAACCTAACCAACACCACCAGAACAACAACCCAAACAGTGAAATATAACATTGAATCCAAGATAATTACTGGCGTCGGTCTCACAGATGACACTGGTTGTAAACTATTACCACAACAATCTAACCAAACTCATTTTCATCATCTTGGATCTTTCCTGTATAATATTTTGGTGAACTGGAAATAACGTTACATCTATCTGTTACAAAAAGTGTGTTCTTTATTGTACTTGAGGCTACGAGAGGGTGTCTGCTGGAATGCCATGCTGGGTAATGTGTGAGATGCGCGATGGCGGGACGAAAAATCTTAGGAGTCGATGGTAAACATAACGGAGGTACTGTACACAACGGCGTCTTGGCAATACATAAATTTCCATCGGATCTCGTTAATAGGTCATTTAAATATATTGTTTTTCATTTTAAATTACATATATTGTACTTCAGAGACTTTATCTATTCATATATAACTAGTTGGAACATCCAGGATAAGTCTGCAGGTGCTAACCCACACACGAAGACTTACCTCAAAATATTCCAATAACAATTCAGATCACTAAATAGTAACCCGACCCAAATCACGTATAATAATAAGAAACTCGAAGGTTAAAAAAAAAAACAGGCTGACTGTCTCCCTGTACCCAGCCTACCCAGACTGCACCCAGCCTACCCAGACTGTACCCAGCCCACCAGACTGTCCCCTGTACCAGCCTACCCAGCCTACCCAGCCACCCAGACTGCAGCCAGCCTACCCAGACTGTCTCCTGTACCCAGCCTACCCAGACTGTACCCAGCCTACCCAGACTGTACCCAGCCTACCCAGACTGTCTCCCTGCACTAGCCTACCCAGACTGACCCAGCCCCCAGACTGTACCCAGCCCACCCACACTGTCTCCTGTACCCAGCCTACCCAGACTGTACCCAGCCTTCCCAGACTGTACCCAGCCTTCCCAGACTGTACCCAGCCCACCCAGACTGCTCCAGCCATCCGACTGCACCAGCCTACCCAGACTGTACCCCTCAGACACCCAGCCCACCCAGACTGTACCCAGCCTACCCAGACTGTACCCAGCCTACCCAGACTGTACCCAGCCTACCCAGACTGTACCCAGCCTACCCAGACTGTACCCAGCCTACCCAGACTGTACCCAGCCTACCCAGACTGTCTGCACCAGCTGTACCCAGCCCACCAGACTGACCCAGCCCCAGACTGTCCAGCCACCCAGACTGTACCCAGCCTACCCAGACTGTACCCAGCCTACCCAGACTGTACCCAGCCTACCCAGACTGTCTCCTGCCCAGCCTACCCAGACTGTCCAGCCTACCCAGACTGCCCAGCCTACAGACTGTACCCAGCACCCAGACTGCCCTGCCCAGCCCCCAGACCAGACTGCACCCAGCCTACCCAGACTGTACCCAGCCTACCCAGACTGTGCCCAGCCACAGACTGTACCCAGCCTACCCAGACTGTCTCCCTGTACCCAGCCTACTCCAGACTGTACCCAGCCTACCCAGACTGTACTCCAGCCTACCCAGACTGTCTCCTGTACCCAGCCTACCCAGACTGTACCCAGCCTACCCAGACTGCACCCAGCCTACCCAGACTGCTCCCTGTACCAGCCCCCCAGACTGTACCCAGCCTACCCAGACTGTACCCAGCCTTCCCAGACTGTACCCAGCCTACCCAGACTGTACCCAGCCCATCCAGACTGTACCCAGCCTACCCAGACTGTACCCAGCCACCCAGACTGTACCAGCCTACCCAGACTGTGTACCAGCCTACCCAGACTGTACCCAGCCTACCCAGACTGACCCAGCCTACCCAGACTCCACCAGACTGCCAGCCCCAGACTGTACCCAGCCACCCAGACTGTACCCAGCCTATCCAGACTGTACCCAGCCCACTCCAGACTGTACCCAGCCTGACCCAGACTGTACCCAGCCTACCCAGACTGTACCCAGCCTACCCAGACTGTACCCAGCCTACCCAGACTGTCCCAGCCTCCAGACTGTACCCAGCCTACCCAGACTGTACCCAGCCCACCCAGACTGTACCCAGCCTACCCAGACTGTACCCAGCCTGCCCCAGACTGTACCCAGCCTACCCAGACTGTACCCAGCCTACCCAGACTGTACCCAGCCCACTCCAGACTGTACCCAGCCTACCCAGACTGTACCCAGCCTACCCAGACTGTACCCAGCCTACCCAGACTGTACCCAGCCCACCAGACTGACCAGCCCACCCAGACTGTACCCAGCTCACCCAGACTGTACCCAGCCCACTCCAGACTGTACCCAGCCTACTCCAGACTGTACCACCTACCCAGACTGTACCCAGCCTCCCAGACTGTACCCAGCCTACTCCAGACTGTACCCAGCCTACCCAGACTGTACCCAGCCTACCCAGACTGTACCCAGCTTATCCAGACTGTACCCAGCCTACCCAGACTGTACCCAGCCTACCCAGACTGTACCCAGCCCACCCAGACTGTAACCAGCCCAACCAGACTGTACCCAGCCCACCCAGCCTGGCCTCCCACCAGCCCAGACTGCTGACCCAGCCCACCCAGACTGTACCCAGCCTACTCCAGCCTGTCCTGTACAGCCTACCCAGACTGTCCTGTACCCAGCCCACCAGACTGTACCCAGCCTACCCGCTCCCCAGCCTACCCAGACTGTACCCAGCCTACCCGCTAACACGTGTATTATACTCCTGTACGGCATCACCAGGAGATATTCTAAATTGTTTATGCTGGTGTCAATCATAAACAACTGAAGGAGTTAGATCATATCACAGTCATGGGCACTATAGTTCTGGTTTAAACATACATACATACATACATAAGTATACTTGTCATAACATGAACTTTTCGGTTGCCCTACCTAGACAGACATAAAGACAGCGATTAGATAGATAGATAGATAGATAGATAGATAGATAGATAGATAGATAGATAGATAAAGGAAAAAATGACGAAAAATGTGGGTGGGGGTGAAGGTCAAGGTAGGGCAAGGTTGACTGCTGCATCAATTCCACCTGACCTGGCAAAAATGTTCGACTCAACATCCTCGACCAATCAATAACCAGGAACCCCAGACCTACACACCAGACCGACCAATCACAATGTGGGTCTAGCTGTGTGACCAATTAAGGCTGGCACCGACCGTAGCCAATTTGCTGCTGGAAGAGAGCCCTCGAGTTTTTACGAAGACTGATTCAGCCTAACCCAACCCGACCCAACCCGACCCAAACCTGACCTTCTCATATTTCTTTAGACTTGCCCCTCGACCTTACGTTCATCCACACTGAAAAAAACACTTAATGATCCGCTGCAACTTGAAAGACGATTTTTTTTTTGGTCTCCACTGCCAGAGTTATCACCGACCAAAAACCCAGAGTATTACTAAGGGCGAGAATACCCACTGATGTTATTTATAATTGTCAGATGATAAAATTGTTTCCTGACATGAACGAGAATGAGAGGTGGAACTGAAATTAGTCTTTAGTTATAATTGAATATAATGATAGATGGAGTTACGGGTTTTAAAACGTAGGGAATAAATAGACAGGAATGATATAGAGATTAGGTTTAATTTGTGGCGGTCCAGCTATAAAAAAAAAAATGAATGGTGTTTTAAAAGATAAATACACATACTAAAACAAAAACACTGGACCACATACAGACAAAACAAACACCTTCCAAACACACACTAAAACAGAAAAACACCAAACAAACACCTCCCAAAACACACTAAAACAGAAAACACCAAACAAACACCTCCCAAACACACACTAAAACAGAAAACACCAAACAAACACCTTCCAAACACACACTAAAACAGAAAAACACCAAACAAACACCTCCCAAACACACACTAAAACAGAAAAACACCAAACAAACACCTCCCCAAACACACACTAAAACAGAAAACACCAAACAAACACCTCCCAAACACACACTAAAACAGAAAAACACCAAACAAACACTTCCAAAACACGAGTAAGCTGCCTCTTGTATACAGCTACGTGAAAGTAACGCTAACATCACCTCCAGCAACAACACGTACTACAGGTGAACTACATCCCTCCTGAGCATAGGATCAAGACACGTCGAACTGAGTAGCCTTTATACTAATGTGTCGTGATTACTTGAGAGGAGGGTGGAGAAGAGAGAGAGAGAGAGAGAGAGAGAGAGAGAGAGAGAGAGAGAGAGAGAGAGAGAGAGAGAGAGAGAGAGAGGACCACGATACATCTCAGAGTAATCAAGACAGTAATCTGACAAATGGGTAAAAGTTTGCCCAGTTTGTTTGTATACAAGTGGAGCATTAAGACCAGCTCACTCTCTCCCTGCCCTCATGTCCCAGTAGCCATCAGTGTACAGTATCTGTAGCCATGAGTGTACGTACCTATAGCCATGACTGTACCGCACCTGTAGCCATGAGTGTACCGTACCTGTAGCCATGAGTGTACCGTACCTGCAACCATGAGTAACGTACCTGCAGCCATGAGTGTACTGTACCGCCATGAGTATACCATACCTTCAACCACGAGTGTACCGTACCATCACCATGAGTGCACCGTACCTTTCACTATTTAAAGACCTGTCACTATTTAAAGACCTGTCACTATTTTAAAGACCTGTCACTATTTAAAGACCTGTCACTATTTTAAAGACCTGTCACTATTTAAAGACCTGTCACTATTTTAAAGACCTGTCACTTATCATGGGTGGCGTTAGGCTTACCCACGCAACCAATTCCAAAGTTTGTTTTACTAGAGATAAGACACCCGGCGAGGCATAACTGGGACATGTATTTTCCATTAGTGTATGTTAGCCAGCCTTTAGGGGGCAGTGAAACAGTGTTGTACTGTTCATCGCTTCACACCCAAAAACCTAATTTTTAGTAGTATCCCGACGACCATGGCTTAGTTAAAAGTCGTCTTGACTCTCCCTCCTGAAAGGGAGTGGGGACACCACACCACACAGAGTCCTCCACCGCCACTCCGTCTACAGTGACCGTCGTCGACACGAGACTAAGTGTGTTAACCTAGGGTTTGTTATCCCCTGGAAATATACGTAGTGGAAGCCTGGTTGCGACAAAGCAATCCAGGCTGGTCTATTGCACCTAAATGGTTAATCCAAGTCACGCTACCAGTTCTCCTGCCGAAACAATCATGTTGACTGTCAGTGACACGAGACTATGGTAACCCAAGAGTACTTTTGTTGCTATATGGAAAGACCTGTCACTATTTAAAGACCAGTCACTATTTTAAGACCTGTCACTATTTAAGGAACTGTCACTATTTAAAGACCTGTCACTATTTAAAGACCTGTCACTAAAGACTTGTCACTAAAGACCTTCACTAAAGACCTGTGCCTATATTAAACACCACATATTTTTAACGAAACAACACACACACACACACACACACACACACACACACACACACACACACACACACACACACACACACACACGTAAACTACCAAATCACTTTAAAAAGCCATTCACTATACACTTTTTTGTATCCTAAATTCCACCAACAGTTTCATCATTTACCGAATAAGAAAAGAGAAATGTAAAAAAAAGTAAAAAGTAAAAAAAGTCTTAATTGATTACACACACGTTGCAACTCTCAAAAGTGTAAATTGTTAAAAAAATCGCGTTGGGAATCCGGACCAGAGGGAGTAAAAAAAAGCGAGCTGGTCTAAACGCGATATATATCTGCATAAAAGCTAATTTGTATATACCTTTTTGCTTTTTAATTTGCTTTTTTTTTATTTTTATTGAAGGTGTTAGTAAATGAAGCATTGTATTCAGTTGTGGTGACGAGAGTGAGTGGAGAAGAAGATGAAGGAAGTAAGAAAGAAGATAATGAAAGAAGAAGACGAAGAAGAAGAAGAAGGAAGAAATAAAGAAGATAATGAAAGACGAAAAGAAAGAAAAGAAGGGAGGTAATGAAAGAAGATTAACTGAAGCAAAACAAGAAAGACTAAGATAAGAGGAGATATAAGAAAGAAAAGAAGAAGATGAAAAGAAGAGGAAGACGAAGAAAATGAAAGAAGGGGAGGAAGAAGAAAAGAGAAGGAAGAAGAAGAATAAGTAAAGGAAACCAAGACAATGTTGTGTTGAAGATTAACTGACGCAAAGAAGAAAGAAAGAAGTAAGAAAGTAGAAGAAAGAGAAAAGATAGAAAAGATAATTTAGAAGGAAAAAGAATGAAGAAAAGAAGAATTAAGAAGACAGAATTAAAAAAATAAGAAGAAAAAATCAAGAATAAATTGATCTTCACTACAATATGACAACCAAAAAAAATATTAATATGGCCTCAACAAAATTAAATATTATTACCAGTCATACAAAATTGATTAATCTTATATACAAAGAAATAATTAATTAAAGGTCTTAAATGAATTAATTACGTATGTTTAATGTTATAAAATAATAAAATAAATAAAACCTCAGGGCACCAATATGAGAGAGAGAGAGAGAGAGAGAGAGAGAGAGAGAGAGATACTTGTCTCTTTAAACTGGATTTGAGAAAAGTTTAAACTGTGGCGTGTGACACAATGGTTGGGAGTTTGGTGGTGCCAAGAGACCTGCATTACTAAACAGTGTTCTCGACTACGATAAACAAGAATGTCACGCTGTAAATACAAACACAAACACTGGCCATATTATTAATCCCCACAGTAAACAAGAGAGTGTTCACAAACAAAGGCAAACAGTCTCACTACCTGATTACAATGGCCCACGATTCAGCTAAAAATAGGAGTAGTTTCAGCGTTTGTGTGTTAGGCCGTCCAGTATCAGAGAATAACGGGAGAAACTGTGGGAGAATTATCCTGCACAACGAATATGAGGACACACTTCACACGGCGGCTGGTAGATCTATGGAACAATACTGGTCTTCAAAATAGTCATGGACAAGATTATCATGTACAGTGGAATGATCCTAAACAGGTCACTGGCGCCCTTCCTCGGCCCTCTAGCCATTAGGTAAATGACGTAAATAATAGGAGATAGGAAGTATTAAATGGACTATTATGGCAGTCGAAATTACAGTAGTTGTATATATATATTTAGAACAAACAATGATGTAAAAATAAAAATACTACTACTACTACTACTACTACTACTACTAATAATAATAATAATAATATAAACTAATAGGTTCAAGAGTTTATCATTAGACTGGCAGCAGCAAGAGTTTGATCATGTCAACAAAAAC